AGCTAAGCTAAAGAAGAAAAAGAAGTCCCCTGCTCCTAATTCTAATTCCTATCTAATGTCTAACTCTACTGTGCGGCGCCCCTTTTATTGCTATCCTTTGCAGCGGTTCTCCCCTTCCAGGAAGACTTCGGCCCTTTGGTTCTTTTTTCCTTGCTGTCTTTGGCAAAATTATCGAAAAGGGCTCGCATCTATTTGTTTCAAAAAATGCCCTTGAATGCCTTCTATTTGAATTCTTTCTTGATGACGGTCAAATTGGCATTGATTGTGGTATTTTTGTTCTACTTCCTGAAATAAATACAAATTACGAAAAATGAATAGAATCTAATAATTAATCCATATCAGGTCAGGTAATATGGGAAATTAATAATAAAATAAATAATAAAATTGCAACCTATCAAAGGTCATTTCTATCATCATTTTAATTTTTTTTCCTTCTATCAGGTCAATTCTACACGAAGCAAGGATTATTTATTGATATCATAAATTAATGTATTTAGAAAGAAAGGAAAAAAGTAGAGAAAGAGAAGAAGAGAAACATCATCTGGAGTAATTGACAACAAATCAAGGATAAAAAATAGCACAAAAGTGGGAAATTTGCTTCTACGACAGTAGATAACAGTAATTTATCAGAGTTCTCAGCTAAATTTTTGCTACCAGTGATCTGGATTCTGCCCATTTCAAGTTTCACTCTTCTGGCTTCATCTCAAAGATTTTCTATGATTTCCAGAAGCACTTTCTTAGAACTCCCACCAACTTCATAGGCCTTCCTAGCTTCTTCCTTCACCTTCTTTGCCATTACCCTCAATGTTTTATCCTGCATCAACTGGACAATTTGATCCCCAATCTCCTGTCCCTTCACTAGATTCTCCGCTAGCCAACCCCAATACCTCATCCATACTCCAAGGCCTGCCTTCTCTGTCACTTCTGCATTCAACTTTTGGTCTCCATTTAGAGGCCAAGCCAATATAGGCACCCCAAATTGAGCTGCTTCGGTTACAGAATTCCATCCACAATGGCTAACAAATCCTCCGATTACTGGATGCGCTAAAACTTGCTCTTGCTCCACCCATCCTTTACAAACTAGCCCCTTCTTCTTTGTTCTTTCAAGAAATGAACTGCCAAGCAAATCTTGCAGATCTTCCCTCTCGTCTTTGTCAACTTTGGTAGTCTTTATTGCCCAAAGAAATCTACATCCACTTCTCTCCAGTCCATTTCGTAGTTCTCTTATTTGTTCCTTTGACAATGCTGTTCTGCTTCCAAAGCTAACATAGACTATAGAATCATTTGGTTGGCCGTCTAGCCACTGCAGATAAGAGCCAGCTTTCATGACAGCCTTACAAGGCTCGTATGGTCCTATGGGGAGGAAAGGCGGTAAATGAGCCAGCACCTTGTGTTAGGATCCAAATGCAGAATAAACAACATTAAGATATCAAATGCACAATAATTTAATGAGGAACAAGCCACAAGCATGAAAGATAAACGGCACACAATATTTAACGTGGTTAGACTCCACCATTGAACCTACGTCCACGGAGAGAAACCTGCTCTTTATTATGAGAGGAAAACCCTATACAAGAATACAACTTGAACCCAAGTCCAACCCTTGTATACCATCTCTCATCTCTCAAGAACCCTTTCTCACACCCCATGTATAAGGCTACATGATGCCCCTTGTGTCTCCTTGTATGCCTTTGTGTAGTATGCCAACCCATCTATTTATAAGGAACATTACTGCCAAAAAACCAAATAACAATTGGAAACCAATATTATTTCCTAAACTAAATAGAATTTCTTGGCTGCTACTTCAAGTAACTAAAACCAATTAGGAAACTAGTTACTTCCACACAAGATAAGAAATCTACCTAAAAGAATTTAAGCCAATTTCCTAACAAATCTCCACCTTGGCGAAAATTTCTTTTAGCAACCATTTGCCTTCAATGACCAAATAATATGGTACCAAACTATACACCCGAATCAATACAGTCCTGACATAAAATTGATTCAATCGACAAATGAACATGTGTAGTTACCCTGAGTCCAACCTCCAGTTGATTCGTGAGAAGGTGTCTCAATTCACCATCTCCCTTTGCAGGATTTCTTCTCACCACTACTTGCAATTTGGGATCCTCTTCTGTGAGTTCTAACCCTAACCATTGAGGCAATCAAGTGGTAAACTTACCAAACTTCTTCCCATCCTCAGGACTGTCTCGCCACGTGTGGTTTCCAAAACTCCACCTAAAATGAAAAACTCGTAACTGTCAGAGTCTTCTGGCGTATGAAAATTAGATCTCTTTGTTTCTTTGGGACACGTGCCACACCACCCAAAAAACATAACCAAAATCTAAAATCCATCGGGATGAAGTATCAACCGTTGAAGGTGTGAGAAAGTTTCCAACGATTCATGTCCAAAATCAACATTGGACTCCACCTTTTCCTTGACCCTTGAATCACCTGCCTAGATTCACCGTCAAGCATCTCCATACTTTTCGACTTTTCATCCTTCACCATCAATGTTTTTTTGCCAAACCATTGAAACAAGGATACCACTCATTAAATTGTTCAATTAGTAACAACTACCAATCCACTTGATCTCAATAGTTAATTAGGATCCAACTACGAACCTTGAGCAGCCCAGTCTCGCAACCAAACTCTGATACCACTTGTTAGGATCCAAACGCGGAATAAACAACATTGAGATATCAAATGCACAACAATTTAATGAGAAACAAGTCACAAGCATGAAAGATAAACGACACACAATATTTAACGTGGCTCGACTCCATCATTGAGCCTTCGTCCACCGAGAGAAACCTGCTCTTTATTATGAGAGGAAAACCCTATACAAGAATACAACTTGAATCCAAATCTAACCCTTGTATACCATCTCTCATCTCTCAAGAACCCTCTCTCAGTAAGGCTACATGATGCCCCTTGTATCTCCTTGCATGCCTTTGTGTAGTATGCCAACCCATCTATTTATAAGGAACATTAATGCCAAAAAATCAAATAACAATTGAAAACCAATACTATTTCCTAAACTAAATAGAATTTCTTGGCTACTACTTCAAGTAACTAAAACCAATTAGGAAACTAGTTACTTCCACACAAGATAAGAAATCTACCTAAAAGAATTTAAGCCAATTTCCTAACACCCTGCCAGTATTCACTGCAGCAATTGTTTCAGACTCAAACCAATCAAAGCTATTAAGTAGAATACCCTTGGCTTTCGAGAGAAATTGAGCATTTAAGCGGATGTGGGCTGTGAAAATATGATCTGGAGTAAAGAAGGGAGGAGGAAGGCTTGAAATTGGCACCGAAGCTAAACCCGGAAGCTGAATGCTAGAGTCTTCCGAACTTTTGCTTTCGAGTATCAAGTCAGGAAGACAAGCCATAAGTGAAAAAAATCTAGCTGAAGTGGTGGATACAATGTAAAGGGGGATAGATAATTCATCAGCTAGACGATTGATATCGGCTGCAACAGCAAAGTCAGCGAAGATGGCTGATAGAGGCGGAGTAGATAAGGAAGCCAAGAGAGGATGCAGGAGATGAACTGAGCTACTAATATCCAGAAATCGAGCAAAGAAAGGATCAGGTTTTTCAGCGTCTGCAAATTCGGATGGACTGCTGGGAATTGGGAGATGAAAGTCAAGCCGATTGATTTGAGGGTGGGAAGCAAAGAAGGCAGACAATTCGTTGGACTCTGCAGCAGAAACTGGAGGCTGAACAGCAATCAAGGTAACTCTGCATTGGCAATTACGAGAAGCAAGCATGGCTGCCAATCTCAGAAATGGGACCAAATGGCCTATTCCTGCACTAGGAAACAGAGCTACATGTGCAACTGCTCTCTTCTGGGAATCACGAATTCTTGACATTGACATTGTTTGATGAACTGATGATGTTGTCTCTAGTCTACTTTGTTTTGGTGTACAATTCTTCCATCTACTGCTACCATCTTTAAATAGAGTAATATAATATCTTTTCTTATGAAAATATTTTGTAATTACTAGAAACAAAAGAATCTCATATGGATTAAAAATCTAATATGAACGTCAATACTCTATTGCCTCATTGTTGTTTTTATTTCAAGAATAAACCATTCATTTTGACAAAAACAATTTTCCTGCGAGCAATATTACATTCATTGGATGAGGAGCCTAACTCTTCATTTTTAAGATGATTAGGTACATCTATTAGTTGAATTTGGACACATTCTTGTGTCATATAATGCATGTGTACAAGTTTCAACGTTGTCTTCCAAAGAGTAGACTGAAAAGAGTACATACTACAATATTACTTTCGTTATACGCCTACAAGTATATGTTGATTGTTGAAGTACTTTTGAAATTTTTGGTTGCATGTATGTTTTATCTGTATGTATTTTTCACTTTTTTTTTTGGTTCAATTATTGGTGAGACGTGCTTTTCTCCTTGCTAAAATTGTATTTTTTTTTGAACAAAATAATTAAGAGAAAACAGAGAGTTTTCCTCTGTTGTTATTGACTTATGCCGGCATGAGTCACGTGTGCCAAATTTTGTATAATTTTGAAGTGAATTTTGCGATTGTCCACATTTTTGGCAAATTGAATAATTCAACAACTAAATTTACTTTTCACTAAAACTTTAGGATTAATAAGAACCAGACCAAGAACATGATTGTATTGCGAGATGAATCAAACTAACTTTGTATGAATTAGCTTTGCATGATTGTACTGATCAGCTTTGCCTTTTACTATAGTGAACCTGCTAAATAAGAGCTCATTGAGCTTGGTGCAGTCAAACAATTTACAATATTCTCCGAAATTTCAAATTACTTTAGGTTGAATGTATGAATTAAAGTGCATGAATTTATACATAATATCTTGAATCTATTTATACAAGTATTTAATAAGTTTTTTTGTTTCTTAAATAATCTCTCATATATAAAGAGGTCAAGTAAAGAGTGATTTGCTACGAAAAATCATTTTCCTATTACTTTGAACTTTCTCAAAAAACACTTCTTAGTTCAAGAGAATTTGTCTTACTCTATGCAAGAGTTTAAAACAAACAAACTTCATCTTATCCTAAATGATATTTATTCCTTATTGGCAATCTTCTACTACAACTTTTCAGCTAGTTGAAGTACTTGAATTTGTCTTCTTCTTTGTCTTCTTCTTCTTCTTCTTCTTCTTTTCCTCGTTATTTCTCTTTTGCATTCGCTTTTCCATCATCCTATGGATCCCGCATAATTGAGGTTTGCAGTGGAATAAACAGAAAAGAAAAACAGTAAATATTATACTAGATTGGACTTGCAGTAAGTAAAGATTTTTTTTTTTTTTTTGTAAGTAAAGAATGTAAAACTTCCTAAGAGTAAAATGTAAAATGGATAGTTTTGGAAGCACTTACATATTCCAGATGATTGCATCTGAAACTTCTTCATAATCTAGAATGACGCGCTTAATATAGGAAACTTTAAACCATTCAGAATCTGGTTCATTTTGCAGCATCCATTTCCTTGCTAGCAGATTACAGTCCGCGATATCCAGGTACTCCATATTCTTGAGGCCTTCCATTATTTCTTTGGAGGGAAAGGACTCAAGTTTTCGGCAATTGGAGAGGGCTAAACTTTGAATGGAGGAAAGATTCCCTATCCAATCTGGCAAAATTTCTATTCCAAAGTCATATAAAGTCATTTCTTTCAGAGCAGTCAGGTGTTGAAGCTCTTCAGGCAAAGAATCCCAGTGATGCTGCCCGACTAAGAATAGAGAAACAAGTGAAGAAAGCTGTTGAAGCCCTGTAAAACATGTTTGGAATGTTTCAAACTCCATTGAATTTGAAAGAGGACCCATCCTGAGGTCAGCCAAGTTGCTAAGTGCACCAAGCCCCTTGGGCATGGTATTCAACTTAGGGCAGGAAGTAATTCTCATGAATGAAATGTTAGGCATTTGTTGAAAATTTGGAGAAAACTCGCTGAGATTTTCACAGTCTGTCACCCATAGGTATTGGAGAGACTTGCAAGACTCCAATACCTCACTTGGTATACTGATCAAACCTTGGCACTCAGAAACTGTCAAGCTCTGAAGGGATGGAAGGCCTCCCTGTCCATTCAAATTTGGAAATAATTTGATACTAGGGCAGTATGATACCTCGAACCTTTTGAGAGATCTGAGTGAACAAATTTCTGGTGGAAATTCTTGTAATGCCCCGCAATGCCTGATCTCCAACTCTTGGAGCACTGCGCTGCAACCGGACATATGAGGAACAATGTGTGTCAAAGAGTGGCACCTTGTAATACACAGATGAGAAAGGTTGGTGTTGTTTTCCAGCAACTCATCTGGAAGAGAAGTTAGCTCCTTTACATCCTCAACATGGAGACTGGTGAGGGTGGTCAGCTTGGAATTGCATATACTCTCCAGTGGCGAGCTGCTCTTGATGGATTCAACCCTCAGTACCTTGAGTGCAGGGAAATGACTTGGAGCAGTCATCAACTTTGGAACCCATTTAAGAGATAATCTCTCAAGGCTACTAAAAGTCTTAGCTTCATAAGATGCAGAGATTTCTTCTGGTCCCTTCCAATCTAGTAGGCATGGCATGTCGTCTATTATGAGGCTTTTGAGTGCTGGAAAGAATGATTCTGTTGCTTGAGTTTCATTGGTGTTGGTATTTGATCTATTGCCACTGTAAAATGATGATCCAAAGCAGCTAACTTTTGAGAGTTCAGCTATCACAAGATTTTGGAGAAGCGGTAGGGACCCTAGTGTTGGGATTTCATTGCATCTTGTGCAGTGTTCCAGTTTTACCTCCACCAAATTGTTAAGTTGCAAAGAGCCTCCTTTAACAGACATCTTCATTACCCATGATGGGAATCTGTCACCTTTGAAGTATTCGATCCTTAAGCTTTTCAGATTGTGGTAAGGCTCAAGGCCTTCCAGCACATTCTCATCGTTGTTTGGACCTTCTCTTTCGAAATAAATCCAACGAAGCTCCAGCTCCTGCAAATTTGGTTTCCCAAATAAATTTGCTTGCTGAGCTTCCCTTTTGTCTTTCACAAGATCCAGATTTCGTATCTCCAGCTTGCCTTTGAGATCTTTCAAGTGCTTCAGCTCCCCAATTGGAGGACCACACTCCTTTCCCACGTTATAGATTGGCAGTGTTTGAAGGTGACTTAATCGCCCAAACTCATATGGCATAGAGAAGTACTCATTATAATAGAAGTGAAGATGTCTCAGGCATAGCAAATTCTTGAAATCTTTTGGGAGTTCTTCAAGAGAATTACATCCAATGATCCTCAATGTCTTCAACTTGTAAAGGTTGCAGACAGAGTCAGGTATAGACTTTATCTCTGTCCTCGAGAGATCAAGGTATTCTAAATTCCTTAGATTTCCAACATATGCTGGCAATTCTGCTATATCTGCATCACAGAGGTTTAAAACATACAAGAAGTTTAGATTTAGCAAGTTATTGTCAGGTAAATTTTTCTTTAGGAATAATGTCCTCAAATATCTTGCTTTCTCCTTGGCAATCTTCATGGTTTCCTCCGTAAACGACTCCAATGCAAGGTGTTGAATCTGACGAATGTCATCTCGATCTCTTTCGCCGATGGTGATGCTCTCGAAGCTTGATAGAGAATATGCAAAATCATAGACAAGATTATGCAGTTTACAATGTGTTACTTTGTTGAAGTTATCCTTGCTTACAATTTCAAGTAAAGAATTCTGCAACAAAGTGTCAAAGTATTGATTTCCTATTTCCTCCATCACAGAAATCCCCAACCCTGGGTCAATAAATCCTTCAGCCATCCAAAGCTGGACTAGCTGGTCCCTTTCAATAACAGAGTTCCTTGGAAACATCGAACAAAATGCAAAACATCTTTTGAGGAATGGAGATGGCAGATTTTCAAAGCACAATTTGAGTATCGCAGAGATTACATCTTCTTTATCTAATACCCCGCTTTCTAAAATTGACAACCAGAAATCCCTTCTTTTTGTTTTGTAACAAACCTCCAAGTAAATTTGCTGCTAAAGACAGACCTTGACACTTTTCTGCAATGTGCCTTCCTATGTCCTCCAGGCCTATTGGTATTTCATCACTTGCACCTGCTTTTTCTTTTATTATGGACCAGAAATTTTCTATAGATCTCTTTTCCTCATTTTCTGTGATTTTAAGGTCAGCAATCAAGAAGCCAACCTCCTGAACTACATCTACCTGAGGGGAAGAAGCAGTTGTGACACCATATTTCTCAGAAGCTAAAAAGTCTTTCACTTCTTTATTGATCATCTCCAGCTTATTACTGATGCCTCTTGCTTTAGGCATCATTTCTTGGCGAAAAGCTTTCTTATCAGAGTGACAGGAGAAGAGACTTGCCTTTGGTTTTTCTTGGTTCAGCATCTCCACCTCATGCTGGAGAATTTGATAGCTGAAATCTGCCAAAGCATTATCAGCATCATCGGCTATATCAGAAAGTTTCTGCAGCCAAAGCGTAACGATCACAGCCTTGTCCTGCAGCCTCAGATTATCCTGTGAGACAGCTTGGATGTTGGATAAAGATCCTTTCAATTCCTCCAACTCTTGTCTGATGGCCTGCACAACATTAGTCTCTTCACTGGAGTGGGAAAACCAGTTCTCCATTAGGCATGAGATTTCTTGAGGACCACCAAAAACAAGGTTAATGTTTTCAGTAGTGACTGAGATTATTTTCTGCAGTAAAACCTCCACTGAGGCACTCATAAGCAGATTCTCAGCCATCCTTTCAGAGGCAGAAATGCTTTTTTTTTTTTTTTTGGCAAGTTTTGAAGTGAGGAAGAAAAGTTTTTGCTGAGTGACTGATGAAGGTTCAAGGGCTGTGTATTTGTAAGTGATTATCAAGATGAGTCCTGCTCATTTTTTAATTGAACAGATACAAAAGGTCTGCCTTTCCGTTCTATTATTGTTTATTACAAGAAGCAACCGTCCATTGTGACAAAGCAATTTTCTTTATCCATTCTAATTTATTTGTTTAGGGGCCACTGTCCTAAGTAGCTGAAATTGAACAGGACCAATGTTCTGGTGCTGTACATTCTACGATATAAAGCTTAAGCGTAATCAGTAAACTCATGGTTGTACTCTTCATACCTACTAATAACTAAAACTTCATTGTATTAGACACAATGAAATGAAATATGATCTAGTTGGTAAAACGCTTTATTTGAAACAAAAAAATCACCGACTCGAACCACTACTATAGAGGTACGAGTTCAAATCATCACAAGAGTAAATAAGGAATTACTATTGATCCTCTATTTTTTTTTTTTAAAAAAAAAGTTATTTGTGCTAGAATTCTACAAACTTGAGGAATTTCCAAGTCTCAGATACTATTACTGTCTCCATTACTTTGTAGATAAACAGAGGCTTAAGTTTCTTTTATCTCCGCTTTAGATTTGCATCATCTTCATTCACAGTTTGTAGATAAGATTCATCGCTTTTAGATTAGGGTTAATTACATTTATTTTTCAGCAAAGTTTGTGCAACTTGAGGATCAGTCCCTAAAATTCACAATCCCGGCTAAAAGAATTAAAATCACAAATATGCCCTTGAGGTTTGTCCAAATCATGGAAAGGGACCATGTTGCTTAATTAGAAATAATGTAGCTATCCTTTTCAATAGCCAAATATCAATAACAAAGGTTTCAAAAATTTACACTAAACTTGAAAGAAATCACCACAATTTTGAAAATGAAAGGGAAAAAGAATTCAAGATAACCTCTCCTTCTCTCTTCTTTTTCTTTGCCCATGGCTCACCTCACCTGCTATTATACTCTCCCAAGTCCGAACTCACTTTTCCCAAATATTTAGAAATCATCCATGACATTTGTGGAATAAGAAATTTCCTCCAAAACATTTTTGTGAAACTTAGTATGTCAATTTCAAAATTTCCTTTTTTTTTGTCAATAATTCAAAGTTGAATATTTTGTTAATTTCTATCTGTGACGAAGTATCTTTGTTGAATTTTAACTTTTGATCTCAAAATAAGTGTCTTTGAAACATTGAAACTTAACACTGAGCAGTGGGAATAGAGAAACTTCTGTATTGATCCATGGCTTTCATAATTTTAAAGTTAAAACTTTGTTGTGTCCGAAAAATGAAATTTAATTATCTCCATGTCAAGTATGCCAATGGTAGTGAACCACTGGACCAATGGCTCAGTGGCCACCAGGGAAGGACTTAGATCCTTCTTTGGGTTGTGGGTGAGGGTTTAAACTTCACTTGCAGCGGAAAAAAATTTTAAAAGTTGTGCCATAACACTCCGTTGATTTAGTTGGGTCTGTATACCCACTAGTCCCTACCACAGCCTCCTTAGATTCCTCCTTCCCCTAGATTAGGATAGAGTATGTTATACAAATGTATCGTTGCTGATAAAAAATAAAAAAAAAAGTACGCCAATGGTAGTGGTGCCCAAACTACTTCTCTGGTGAATGGCGACTGAAACATAATTATTGATCATGACTCATGATTAAGATCTAAACAAAGTTGATGCTACATTTCTTTTTCCTTTTTTTTTGGGTGATTCGGCAAGAGATTAACTGAAACCAAAAAGGAAAGTTAGTTGTCTTAAACCAAAAGGGCATTATCATATCATCTTAAATTTCAATTTGAAGTAACCCGATGAATAATTATGAATCATATTTGCAGTAGCTTCAATTTGAGGGATTTGTGAAATATAGAGGGCTATAAGAGTTCACTGTGCAACCTTTGCAAAAATTGAAAATTGGTTTCCTGAATTGTTGATTATGTTTACATTAAAAAAAATGAAAGATTAAACGTCAATAAAGTAATGATAAGATGAATAGGGAATTGTACATACCTCGAGTGTAATTAATGACAATTTCACTTAGCTCTTCCTAGACCCTAGTAAAGGTTATTGACAATTTCACTTAATTAATGAAAGATTATTGACTTCCTAGACCCTAGTGAAGGTTTGTGAATTTATTCGTAAAAAATTCATGTATGCTTGAAATTGTGGACCATAAACTGCTCTTCTATTTGAACACAAAAACAGAAAGTTAATATCTGTCCATGGAGAACCCGTGTTAAGTAACTTGAGCAGGTCCTTGATCTCGATCCAACGGAAATGAATCGAACCATTGCTGGAATTAGAGGTTAACATTTTGGGAAAGGAGGCAAGAGTAGTAAATAAATACACTTATGGGGGCATTCTTATACTTTTGTAGAAAGCTCCGGTGCGAAATTTAATATTTTCAAGGATAGTAAGGAAAAAAATTTGAACATGTCAAAGGGATATAAAAAGATTTCTAAAATCTTGTAGGGACAAAGTCTGATTTGTAGAAGGATTAAAAAAAACAAAAAAATTTAATTTTTGTAGGGGTATTTAAGAATTCCTAAATCTTGGGGGCAGTTGCCCTAGTTGCATGCGCTAGCTAGTGTAACTATATGCTTCAAACAACCAATCTTATGTCAGTTTATGCATTTGAGTTCTTACCAGAAAGCATTAGTGGCCAGTACGACAACAAACACTAACAACCAATCTCAGCTTATGCTTTTACATTTGAACTGAAAAAGTCGCATTAGTACAGCTGATTATATGATCAAATCCAGACTAATCAAGGGTTAGTGGTCCCACAATTTCATTTTTTTTTCCTTTCTCTGGTCGATATCATACTAATCAAGGATTTTTTGTCCTCTATATCATGAATTTAAAATCAATTTAACAACCAATTTTGTGTCGGCTTATGCTTTTAAGTTCTTACCTGCACCACAAAGAACCCCATTACAGCAATAAGTTAACAAAAGATAATCAACCTTCGCTTATGCTTTTAAATCTGATTGAAAGTCGTATTAGTACTGGTTATTATATAATTAAAGGGATAATTGCAGAAACCTCCCCTGAGATTTCTGACATTTGCACTGACCTCCCCTCTAGATTTTGAAATTGCATTCACCTCCCCTGAACAGTAACAATTCGTTGCAGAAACCTCCCTGACAGCTTTAATAGAAGTGAGATAAGAAATTTCTTTCAATTTTGCCCTCTTCTTGCTTGACAATTATTATTTGCTTGACAATTGCTTAACTAATTATCTAATTAGTTAATAGTTAAACTAATTAACTATTAACTAATTATCTGATTAATTATTAACTAATTAAGTAAAGCTGTTGTCTGTCCGAAACTAACAAACTATATGCATGTTAAACTAATTAACTAATTAACTGCTTAACTAATCAATTAATTAACTAACTAACTAATTAACAGACTATTTGCATGTTAAACTATATGCAGTACGCATTACCTATTTAAAGTATCGGCTCTTTATGGGTATTTTACTTTCAAACATTTAATTTATGATAAAAATATCAATGTTTGTAAGTAAAATTCAAAAAATGTTACAGTAATATTCTTATAAAAAGGGAGGGGTATAGGGCCATAAATTAAATGTTTGAAAGTAAGAATATTGATATTTTTTGCAACACTTTTTGAAGTTTACTTACAAACATTGATATTTTTATCATAAATTAATTGTTTGAAAGTAAAATACCTATAAAGAGCCGATACTTTAAATAGGTAATGCGTACTGCATATAGTTTAACATGCAAATAGTTTGTTAATTAGTTAGCTAATTAATTAGTTAATTAGTTAAGCAGTTAATCAGTTAATTAGTTTAACTTGTAAATAGTTTGTTAGTTTCGGACAGACAATAGCTTTAGTTAATTAGTTAATTAGATAAATAGAAATTAGTTAATTAATTAATTAGATAATTAGTTAGTTAATTAGTTAAGCAGTTAATTAGTTAATTAGTTTAACATGCAAATAGTTTGTTAGTTTTGGATAGACAACAGCTTCAGTTAATTAGTTAATTAGATAAACAGAAATTAGTTAATTAGTTAATTAATTAATTAGATAATTAGTTAGTTAATTAGTTAAGTAGTTAATTAGTTAATTAGTTTAACAT